TGCCCCTTGTCCTGTCACTGGGCACCACTGAGAAGAGTTTGGCCTCATCCTCTTGACACCCTTCCTTTAGATATTGATAAGCATTGATGAGATCCCCCCTCAGTCTTCTCTTCTCCAGGCTAAGCAGACCCAGGTCTCTCAGCCTTTTGTCATAAGAGAGGTGCTCCAGCAACCCTGAACATCTTCATAGCCTCTACTGGACTCTCTCCAGGAATTTCCTGTCTTTGTTGCTTTGAAATTTCATGTAATAAAATAGATGTTCTTAACCCCAGTGCAAGTGCTCCACAAAAGCGTGGGCTTTTTAGCACCCTTGTGCTGTTATATCCCTGAGCCGCTGACATTATTCTAAGGCCAGAGTGTTGGAAAAGCAATTACTGATAAAATTAGCACCTTCCTCAGCATCAGATGGTTTTCCTCTATTGTGCCTGAAACAACTCCAGCTTCCTAACAGCCCCCTCCATGTACAGGGAAGAGAGGAACCAGAGGGAACACATTGTGAGGTGAGATCAAAGAGCGTGCTTTACCTGCAATATGATTATGGTGCAGGGGGAGATAAGAGGCAAAGCACCTGACAGTATTGCTATGCTGGAAAAATGATCTGCAAAGGCTGTTAATTATTACGCTGCTTTACCATCAGTGTGATCTCTTCTGTTCCAAAGCAGCAGAGTTACAAAACACAAAGGGAAAATCCTCTTCAGAGTAACTTGATGTGACTTCAGGTGGCTGTGCTTATGATCAAATGACCTTGTCCCGTGCAGAAGCACACAGGGCAGCATGGAACAGAAATTTGCTCTTCCCATAGCAACATGAAAGGGAGGATCAAGGTTTAACGATGGTTAATCCAGGCTTTAGAGCCTTTCAGCTCCAGAGGAGCTTGGTTCTGGTCTCAGTTTCAGTGTCCTAACCTCAAGAATAAATATTAGGCAGTTGCTGAAAGAATTCAGAGAGCAGGATTAAGAAGTAAGGCCCCTAACCTCTTTGGTAGCCAGCCTGCCTCCCTGGGCTCCACAGCAAACCTGTCAGTGGCCTCAGATTTAATGGGATATTGGGCAGAAACCTCCCTCCCCAGAGCTCCTGGTGGGCAGGCAGTTAACACGTCGCTGCAGACTGTCATTTCAAATGCTTTGAAAGAAGAATTAGAGCTTTGAATGAAGAATTCTGGGTGAGTCTGCAGCTACCCACTCTTCACTCAAGAGGGACACCACTGCTACCTAAAAATTTAAGCTGGACTCCGTGCTGTGGCTGTGTCCTAAGTATGGCTGGGTGAGTCCAGCAGAGGATTCATCAATGCCAGTGTAGCTGAAGCAGTGGGACCTTCTTTGACATATCCAGGAAACTGACAGTCAGGTCCCTGGGAAAGCAGGGCTATGTGAATTCACAAACAGTATGAAGAGGACACAGATCTAAAAGCTGTACCTAAAACTTGGACTTTTGAAAACAATTTCCTAGTTTTAATACAATACAAAATATTTTATTATCTTTTAAAAATGTAATATACTGCATTCTCACATAAAGTATCCCTTTTTAAAGGGGAATTTGTTTATGTGGCTCTGTAGGAACCCATTGTGCTTTGTTTCTACATTAAAAGAGTAATAGCCCTGTGTCAGCAACCTGCCACGTGGCATATCTGCTTTTGGGATATGTCCTGACGGATTTTCAGAGACACTGGAATTGGCTAGAAATAAAATTGTGACTGAGTTACGAGTAGGATTGTGCGATGCTGAGCCCCCTGGTCTGGGCTTTGGGGCGAATCTGCACCCTCGGTGTCCCTTGAGATGTTTCAGGGCAGAGAAATTCGGTGTGGAAGGGAGAGCAGCATCTGCCCCGCATCTCGGTGGGGATGCTGGCACCGTTGCTTGGAGGGGATGCTGGGTGGCCCGGAGGGGCTGCTGGCCCGTGGTCCGGGGGAGATGCTCGCCTTGCGGCTCGGGGGATAGTGGCTCTGTCGCCCGGGGGGCTGCTGGCCCGTGGCTCGGGGGATGGTGGCTCCGTCGCCCGGGAGGCTGCTGGCCCCGCTTCTCGGGGGATGCTCGCCCCGCGGCTCGGGGGGGTTGCTCGCCACGCCAGCCGGCGGGGTTGCCACCGCCTCCCGGCCGCAGGACCGGCTTCCCACAGCACAGCGAGCCCATCCCCGCTTTCGGTTTCAGTTCTTCCTGCTCCGGGCAGCCCGTTCCCTGGTGGCTTTGGTGTGCTGAGAAACTCCTGCGCTCCCTGGACCTCCCCAGGTCCTCCTCCAGCGAAGGAGATAGAGCCCGCGGCGGTAAGTGGATGCTAATTCTTCACTTCTCAGTAACAAACGCGGATATCAGAGGTACAAAGCCACAGTGCTTCCTCTGGAGTTTAGGTGGCTTCCTCGATGTTGGATTTCTCTTAACCTTCGCGCTGGCAAAGTCGGTGCCACTCCTGTTTGCTTAATGAGCGAGTGTGTTTGGTGCTTGTGCCTGAATGGGGTGTCCCCAGCTGGCAAGAGGTATTTTGTGTCTTAAAAAAACCACAGAAAATATAGGTGAAGTGGGAATATCCATTTCTAGGACATGCTGGAGGCTCCCATGCCAAATTCTCCATTTTTTTCAAGCTGTTACAGACAAGCTCCTTCTTTGTTTTCTGTAGCTCTTCCAGCAGTTGGGCTGCAGAGGAATGAGACAGGGCAAGTGGTCCTTAATTTTCCTCAGCTGCAGGGAATACGGGTGCTGTGTCAGCAGCAGGTGGAGTGGATCAGGCTGCCTGCAGGACTACCAGGTTCATTTATTTGCTGTCCCCTCCCCTTCCCTGTTTCCTTGTGGCAAGCCAGAGCCAGGCTGTGTGAGATGGGTCAGGTCCATATGCAGTGCCCAGCAGGGACCTGGTTTCTTGATGAAGGTTTATTTTAAATGGCCTTTTGCAGTCCTTTCTGTACACCTTTGCGAGGCTGTGGGTCCTTCTTTCCCTTCTATCCTCACTCCTGTTGGATGTGTCTCCCCAGGTGGGCAGGAGACTCTCAATAGGTTCCCTTCTGGCTGTTAGAACGTGGCTTTTTGTTGACTGGAGCAGTCCTAATGCATGCCCTCTGAAAAGGCAGGTCACCTATGGAGCCAAACTCTGCTGGGGTCTGACCTGCTAAACTCCTCTTTGGCTGCAGGTTGTAGTGTCAGTTCCTCGGAGCATTTTGTTCCAGTAGTCAAAACTTTTCTCTTTAAAAAAAAGTCACTTCTGAACGTTTGTTCTTCTTCTGTGCAAATGTGCTGGTTTAATTTCTTGTTTCGTTGTTTGCTATTGAGCAATAACCTAATGTGTTCAAAGGTAGGTCATGGTAATTAAACACAGGTTGCAAGCAAGGGAAAATGTGAGCAGCAGAACTAAGAAAGCTCATATGCCTGTGAGTTAGTCTTTTGAGAAGCTCTTCTAAATTCCTTTTAAGTTCTAGTAAGGTTAAATTCCCTTCAATACCCTGTTTTGTGTTGGAGCACCGATAGTCTTCTCTACTGGGAACCCATTGTGCTGAGACTCAACTCACTGGTAAATCGAGGTTGGCAGGTAGGTACCAAATTTGTTGGCAGAAGATCATACAGATACATGCATATGGAGATTATGGAGACATCCAAAGCTTCAGGGGTGAAAGTATAAGCTTTATACTTTAAAAAAAAAAAAAAAAATTGAAGTGGAGGAACCTTACTGTTCTCTGCTAAAGTGTGGAAAAATATTCCGGCAAGCACTCCCAAAGTATTTGTTCTCCCCCTGCTAAAGATGAATTCAGCAGGGAACGATATGGAAGATATACTAGACTTTTCTCTAGATTAGTAGAAATACTATTTTATTAGACAAGCTCAGCAGGGTAGTCAAACCCTTCTGAGCTCTTACAGCTCCATTCCAGTCAGAATTTCTGAGGCATTAATTTTCTTCCTTATCCAGTAAAACCGTATTACAAGATTACCAGGTGAATTTAGATCTTGTAGATACTAAATGGAAACTGAATAAAATATGAAAAAGTCTGAGATTCATCAGAAATGTAATGCCTAAACAGATAGAGCCATTGAAGGTCAGAGCACCAGTGGACAGAGGCTGGTTTCCTAATGGAAATGCTGTATACTAGACTTTTCTCTAGATTAGTAGAAATACTATTTTATTAGACAAGCTCAGCAGGGTAGTCAAACCCTTCTGAGCTCTTACAGCTCTTACAGAAGGTCAGAGCACCAGTGGAGAGAGGCTGGTTTCCTAATGAAAATGTTGTCACAGTTTCAGCTGGGATGAAGTTGACTTTCATACTGGTTGCTGGTGAGGTGCTGTGTTTTGGATTTGGAACAAGGTCAGAGCACCAGTGGACAGAGGCTGGTTTCCTAATGGAAATGCTGTCAGTTTCAGCCAGGATGGAGTTGACTTTCTTACTGGTTGCTGGTGGGGTGTTGTGTTTTGGATTTGGGATGGGAACAGCATGATAGGGCACTGGTGGGTTTGGTTGTTGCTGAGTTCTCAAGGCCCTTTCTGCTCCTCATCCCATCCTATGAGATGAAAAGATGGTTGAATTTTGTGTGGCTGCTTGTAAAACAAAAACTGGCACGAACTGTAAAGAAGTGGTATAGTAGTCATTCCTACTGCATGTAACTACAACTATTTAAAATGTAATCAAGCTCAGCGCATAGTGATCAATGTTGAGAGGACTGTGTATGTTTTGTCATTTTTATTGTATTTTGTGCATGTTAAAGCAATGCAAAATTAATCAGAAAAGGGAGAATGGTTGGAAATTTGCATTGATAATAGATGAAGTGGTGGTAGCTTTTTGAACGTAATTTTTTTTACATAAGGCAATACTCTTGTTTTTAAAGAAAAAAACAATTTAGAGAGATTATTAGACAGAGTTTTTCTGCAGAAATGAATGCTGCCTTATGGGAGAGAAATACTGAGTGTTTGCTCAGTATAAAACTGCATGTTTTTTGAGCCTGGGTTGCTCAGCCTTCAGTTTAAGATATAAGTTGTGTCAAAGTGATTGTAATTTGTCCTGTGTTCATTTTGCCTTTGCAGATAAAGTGATGGGAAGTGGTGTTCTTTGGTGGGGCAGCTTGTCTGTCAGACTGGTGTCTGTCTGCTTGCTGTGGGCATCGCTTGGAAAGCCGTGTCAGATCCGAAATGAGGTGGCTGACTGCAGTCACCTCAAGCTGACTCAAATCCCCTCTGATCTCCCGACCAACATAACGGGTTTGGACATTTCTCATAATCAGCTAAAACAGCTAAATCCTGCAAACCTGAGCAGGTACGGGCAGCTGGTTTACTTGAACACAGGGTACAACACCATCTCCAAGCTGCAACCAGAACTGTGCCAAAATGTGCCCCTGTTGCGGATTCTGAAGTTGGAACACAATGAACTCTCTAAGCTCCCCGACAGACTCTTCGCTTCCTGCACCAACCTGACTGAGCTCAACCTGGGGCACAACAAAATACGTATAAAAAATGATCCTTTCAAAACCTTGGAGGTAAGCTTTACAAATGCACCTTTTCTTGTAAATGAAGTATAAATGGGGAATTCACTGTATTTTCCAGTGTGTGGACAGAACGGCTGCCTGTTTGCATCTGAAAATACCCAGCACATAATCTTCCTTTGTTTTTTTCTAAAGAAAAGGCCTAGTGCCTTCCTGTGTCAGAGCATGTCAGTGTCTCAGCCATCCTTATGAGCCAATGTTCTCCATCCCCTTTTCCCTACTGCATCCCATCGAGGTGCCTCTGCGAAATTGGACTGAGACATAGCAGTACTTGTGCTCCATCTTTGTGCTGAGAGAATAGAAGCAGCAGGTGACGTATAGGTTGAAGTGGATGGTATGAAATCTGAGTTGCCTGGGGTCTAAAAATGGTAGCTAGCCTAAATTCTTAAGGCCAGGGTGGCCATGAAGGTGGTAGGTAGCCTAAATCCTCAAGGTCAAGGTGACTAAGACCATGACGGCTAGCACTTAGGCTGAATGTAGCATCTCCCAGGACTTCGGGAACTGAGCAGGAGGAAAAACCCTTTTACTCTACTTTTGTTTTTCCTGATAGTTTATATGTGGTTAAATAGTCCTCTCTGTAGCATCTATGAGATTGGGGGACCAGCACAGGAGGCAGAAAAAGGCTATTCCATTGTCTTTGCACCAAGAAGGGAATCAAGCCAAAGGAAGGGCCTAAGGACAAAAGAAAATAGAGAAGGTCTGGAAGCAGGTGATTCTGCCCCTCTACTCTGCTCTATAACGGGTTTGGACATTTCTCATAATCAGCTAAAACAGCTAAATCCTGCAAACCTGAGCAGGTACGGGCAGCTGGTTTACTTGAACACAGGGTACAACACCATCTCCAAGCTGCAACCAGAACTGTGCCAAAATGTGCCCCTGTTGCGGATTCTGAAGTTGGAACACAATGAACTCTCTAAGCTCCCCGACAGACTCTTCGCTTCCTGCACCAACCTGACTGAGCTCAACCTGGGGCACAACAAAATACGTATAAAAAATGATCCTTTCAAAACCTTGGAGGTAAGCTTTACAAATGTACCTTTTCTTGTAAATGAAGTATAAATGGGGAATTCACTGTATTTTCCAGTGTGTGGACAGAACGGCTGCCTGTTTGCATCTGAAAATACCCAGCACATAATCTTCCTTTGTTTTTTTCTAAAGAAAAGGCCTAGTGCCTTCCTGTGTCAGAGCATGTCAGTGTCTCAGCCATCCTTATGAGCCAATGTTCTCCATCCCCTTTTCCCTACTGCATCCCATCGAGGTGCCTCTGCGAAATTGGACTGAGACATAGCAGTACTTGTGCTCCATCTTTGTGCTGAGAGAATAGAAGCAGCAGGTGACGTATAGGTTGAAGTGGATGGTATGAAATCTGAGTTGCCTGGGGTCTAAAAATGGTAGCTAGCCTAAATTCTTAAGGCCAGGGTGGCCATGAAGGTGGTAGGTAGCCTAAATCCTCAAGGTCAAGGTGACTAAGACCATGACGGCTAGCACTTAGGCTGAATGTAGCATCTCCCAGGACTTCGGGAACTGAGCAGGAGGAAAAACCCTTTTACTCTACTTTTGTTTTTCCTGATAGTTTATATGTGGTTAAATAGTCCTCTCTGTAGCATCTATGAGATTGGGGGACCAGCACAGGAGGCAGAAAAAGGCTATTCCATTGTCTTTGCACCAAGAAGGGAATCAAGCCAAAGGAAGGGCCTAAGGACAAAAGAAAATAGAGAAGGTCTGGAAGCAGGTGATTCTGCCCCTCTACTCTGCTCTGGTGAGACACCACCCGGAGTACTGTGTCCAGCTCTGAAGCCCCCAACATAAGAAGGACATGGACCTGTTGGAGCAGGTCCAGAGGAGGGTTAGAGTACCACTGCTATGAGGACAGCCTCAGAGAGTTGGGGTTCTTCAGCCTGGAGAAGAGAAAGCTCTGGGGAGACCTTTTAGCAACCTTCTAGTACCGAAAGGGCACCTACAAGAAAGCTGGAGAGGGACTTTTTACAAGGGCATGTAGTGACAGGATGAGAAGTAATGGCTTCAAACTGGGAGATGGTAGATTTAAGTTAGATATCAGGAATAAATTTTTCACTATGAGGGCGCTGAGACAGAGGAACAGGATGACCAGAGAAGCTGTGGCTGCCCCATCCCTGGAGGTGTCCAAGGCCAGGCTGGATGGGGCTTGGAGCAACCTGGTCTGGTGGGAGGTGTCCCTGCCCAGGGCAGGGGGGTTGGAACTGGGTAATCTTTAAGGTCCCTTCCAACCTAAACCATTCTGTGATTCTACTAATTGTTGTACAATGTTCTAATGAGTGTCTGTGTTGTTTTGAACAAGTCTGAACTTTTCTGCTAAACTCAGTATTCCGGTCCAGTTACACAAAATGTAGCGGTTTGCATTTTAGGACTGCTGACTCTCAGCTAAGTACAAATGGGTACAGCCAACTTTGGAACTGGGAGCAGAACTGAATTTCTGGTGCTCTGTTCCTGATGAAGGCCAGGCTTGGGACACCTCAAGGCATATTTTGTGGAGTCACCTTTAGGGTAGCATCTCCTGTCCTGCAGATACAGGATGAGTCTGACCACGTGGGCATGAGCTGGAGCACTACACAGGATACAGTGCTGATCTTTGTGGGCTGCTACTGCTCCTCCTCTTCCCTTCCTCGCGTCCACTCATGGAGGTGGACCACAGCGAAAAAGGTGGAACGCAAAGTTTAATGCTACAGTAGTTGTACTTGCAGCCAGCTATAGGCTTTTGCTTTTGTCTCTTTGCCTGGAGCAGGAGGGCTTTCAGCGAGCTAAGGAATTTTAGAGAAAGTGACTCTTTGGTTTGCAGTAGATATTTTAGCAGGTTACGACCATGAACGCAATAAAAGTTACAGTTGGGGAATATTCAGAAGGCTTCTTCCCCCTTGAAAGCTGCCATTTCTCAATTACAAATTTATTTTAATTCCATATTCAGAAGGCTTCTTCCCCCTTGAAAGCCCTATTACAAATTTATTTTAATTCTAGTATTGCAAATAATTTCTAATTGTAATTTAATATTTCAAAATGATTTTGTGTTATATAAAATATTTGACTGTAATTTAATATTTAAAAATAATTTCTAATTGTAATTAATTGTATTATTGCAGATATTTTCTAATTGTAATTTAATATTTCAAAATGGGTTTGTGTTATATAAAATAAAAATGATTTTATACTTTTCTGTTTGCATCTTCTCCCCAGAACTTGAATATTTTGGACCTATCTCATAATTCTTTGAAGTCAGCAAATTTGGGATTGCAGCAACAGTTGAAGAACCTTCGTGAGCTCATGTTGAATGGCAATCAAATCACTGAGTTAAAAAAGGAAGACTTCAGTTTTCTCAGCAACACCTCACTGAATAATCTTGATTTGTCATCAAATCCACTGGAAGAGGTAGGAAGCATTAAAACAGAAATTCAATGGGTGTAACTATAAAATGGAACTATCCTGGTTTATCCTATATGATTGTATGGCATTTTCATTGCATTTTTGGTTCCATCTTTGACCTCTATTGACCTCCAGTAGTGATACACATAAGTATTATTCTCCCACTGAAAGCAGCAAGAGCTAGTTCTGCGTAGATCAGAGGTCTCAAGCCAGGGCTGGATTAAGTAGCTCTGTGAACCCTTACCAGGGATTTTCTATGCAGAATTTTTTTGTACGTGCTGAAGGTGACCAGCTGACATACATTCTAAGTGGGGAATAAGTGCAATATTGTGGAAGGCTAGTTATACAGTCTAGGTATAACCTCCTAGTTAATCAAAGGGAACGTTCATTTGTGCCTGTGGGGTACCCCAGAGAAATAATCATTGCAGAAAAGTATACTCTTTTAAAAAACCGAAATGGGTGTTTTCTCTGCCACCTACCTCACTGTTCTCCCTGACCTACAGTCTCAGTGTTACAATACAATTCTTTGAAAAGTGATGGTAAGTGCTAAAGATCGAAATTGGTTGACCCTTAGTGTAGGATCATAGAACGGTTTAGGTTGGAAGGGACCTTAAAGATCATCTGGTATGAATATTGAAAAGGTCATCAGCATATGAATACTGCATTTGCTTGGGGTTTTTTTTTCAGAGTTGATTGACCTGTAGAGAACATGTACATTGAAATTACAAGAATATGTTGAAGTGGCGTAAGCTTGTAGCACTGCTAAGAGGCAACGCCACCGTCCTCTTTCCTTTGGCCACTTCATCCCTCCCTCTTTCTGGTACAAACTTTACTGAGGCTGTGCTCTGGGTCACTGGGGAAACTCTACAGGTGTTTTTTGGCCTTGGTTAGCTTTGTGTCAGGCTGGTTCCCTGCTTGGTCCCCCATGTCACTGCATGTATGGCCATACTGGCACGTGGGTAAGTAGACAGGACTGCTCCTTTCTTGGGCAGTGATACCTTATGCCAGTTTAACCTGCTCTAATTTTACAGTGCTGCTGTCTGAAAAGCAGCCTCATGCATTTGAATTGTTCTGATAAATGGAGTATTTAAAAATGCATATAATATCTCCGTCAAGATGAGAGGAACAGCACTACGATGGAGGCTTGTGACTTACATTGTGGTAGCAAGTGTGTAGTATCATATTTAATGACTGTAACTTCTGCTCACACAAAGAAACTGGGTTTCTTCTTGGCTCTCTGAAGTCCTAAATAACTCTTTTACAGTAAATCTGGTTTTTGCACTGGTGTATTGCTATTCCTAGCAGATACCAATGAAAGAAAGCCGAAGAGATTATCTTAATTTCTAAGATTGTGCTAGTGCAAGAGTTTTACTAGTCAGATACAAAATTGTAATTAACTTGCATCTAACTAAGCAACTTTCTATCTTCTTCTAAAAGAGTACCACTCAGAATTATGATCATTGTGTTCCAAATTTTAGAACTATTATCACAAGAAGTATAAATTCCAAGAAGTGTTTGTCTGACTTTGGCTGTGGAAAAATCGGAGCGTAAGAGTTACATTCTGCTCGAAAATCTCGTTTGAACACCTTTGCAAATTTTGGCTTTATGGGTCAACTTTCTTCCATAATCGTCTTGTTTAGATCAAAATCCTTTGTCCTTTCCTTTCAGTTTCACGTGGGATGCTTACAGGCAATTGGAAATCTGTTTGGCCTCACGCTGAACAATGTTGAACTTGGTGAAAATCGCACGAAGCAGCTTTGTACAGAATTATCAAACACAGCGATTCAGAACCTCTCCCTGAGCCGCGTGAAGCTTTCACACATCAGCGTGTCAACTTTCCAGGGACTGCAAGGAACAAATCTTACCATTTTAAACCTTTCCCAAAATTCTCTGTCTTCAATAGAGGATCGCTCATTTCAGTGGCTTTCAAATTTACAATATTTAAATCTGAAAAATACTAACATTCATTTATCTTCACATTTATTTTATGGATTATCCAGCCTCAAACATCTGACTCTGATAAATTCGGTTACTGGGAAAGTTGAAGATTTTTCCTTTCGTTGGCTAGACAAACTGGAATACCTTATAATGGATAATAGCAATTTTCCAGGAATTACTGCCAATACGTTCACAGGACTGAACAACCTGAAATACCTGAGTCTCTCTAACTGCAACATAAACTTACAAAGAATAACTAATAAAACATTTTCGTCACTTGCTAATTCCAGTTTGCAAGTTCTCAACCTCACAAAAACAAGAATCTCTACAATAGGAGGTGGGGCGTTTTCCTCCTTGGGACAACTGAAAATTCTTGATCTTGGTCTCAATGAAATCAATCAAGAGCTCACAGGTCATGAATTTAAAGGTCTCAATAATGTAGAAGATATTTATCTTTCCTATAATAAAAACCTGACTTTGCAAAGTGAATCCTTCATTTTTGTCCCAAGTCTTAGAAAACTGATGCTGAGGAAGGTAGGTTGCAGTAATCTGGCAGTTTCTCCTTCGCCTTTTCGTTGTCTACAAAATCTGACCATCCTGGACATCAGCAATAACAACATAGCAAACATAAAAGAAGACTTGTTTGATGGACTTCACAAACTTGACATTCTGGATTTGCAGCACAATAATTTAGCGCGACTTTGGAAACAGGCAAATCCAGGTGGCCCTGTTCTTTTTTTAAAAAATCTTCGCAACTTGCGTATTCTTAATTTAAAATCAAATGGGCTTGATGAGATTCCAGTTCAGGCTTTCAAGGGTCTGTCTCAATTAAAAAGCCTGGATTTAGGATCGAATAATTTGAATTTGCTCCCGGCCACCCTTTTTGATGACCAAGTCTCTCTGAACTCATTGAACCTGCAGAAAAATCTGATAACCTCAGTGGAAGAAACGGTGTTTGGCTCCGCTTTCAAGAGCTTGAGAGTACTTTGGATGGATTCCAATCCTTTCGATTGCACCTGTGAAAGCATCGCTTGGTTTGCGGATTGGCTCAATGTGACCCAAGCATATGTACCCGAATTGAGGTCCCGGTACATTTGCAACACCCCACCTAAATATCACGGTAGTCTGGTGCTGCATTTTGATAGCTCGACCTGCAAAGATAGCGCTCCATTTAAACTTCTGTTCATGATCACTAGCACTGTTGTCATGCTAGTAATATTTACTGTCCTTACCATCCAGTTTGAAGGGTGGAGAATAGCTTTCTACTGGAATATTTTAGTAAATCGAATACTTGGTTTTAAAGAACTTGACAGACAACAGGAGGAGTTTGATTTTGATGCCTATGTTATTCATGCAAGACAGGACAGGGATTGGGTGTTTACGAATTTAAAGTCTCTGGAAGAAAATAAGTACTTTCAAATTAAGTTTTGTTTAGAAGAACGGGACTTCGAAGCGGGCATATCTGAATTCGAAGCCACAGCTAACAGTATAAAAAAGAGCAGGAAGATTATTTTTGTTGTGACTGAACACCTCTTGCAGGATCCCTGGTGCAAAAAGTGAGTAGGTATAAAATTTTAAGTGTAAGGGGGAAATTTCTTAGTACATTTTTTTTAACAAGTTAATCTTTTTTTTTTTCCCTGTGTAATTTAATAAAAAATACTTGCAGGATCCCTGGTGCAAAAAGTGAGTAGATATAAAATTTTAAGTGTAAGGGGGAAAATTTCTTAGCAGATTTTTTTAACAAGTTAATCTTTTTTTTTTGCTGTGTAATTTAATAAAAAATACTATTTAATAAAATATTGCTATTTAATAAATACAAATTCTGCTTTAATATTTTTACTATATCATAACTTCAGAATAATTCCTAAGTTAATAAAGTTAATTGCCCCACATGTACACTAGTGGAAATTTGAATCTCGCAGTCTATATACTTTCTTTCAAAATTCAAGCTGTCACCTGTGCAGACTTCTTTCCTTAAAATGATGTGTTTGAAAAAGAGCAATAATGGGGGAGATCACTAGCATCCATAGATGATTTTTATTTGTCCTTAAATGAGTCTCTTCACCTTTCTTACGTAGTGATCTTGAAAAGAAATGAACTTTGCTAAACAAGGCTATATCAATACAGTAGACTTAGATTATACTCTTAGAGGATGATTTCTTTCTTTAGCTAGAAGGTACCTAATTTAACATAAGTAATGACAAGTCTGTATCATAGAATATACATTAAGACCCCTGAAGTTTGCAGTGTGCTATTTTGTGAGCTATTAAATGAACTGTTTGACATTTTTTCCTTCACGTGAAGGAAAACATGTATTTTTGTCTCATTTTTGTTTCAGGTTTAAGGTGTATTATGCTCGTCAGCAAGCTATTGAGCAAAGTCGGGACTCCATCATATTGATCTTTCTTCACGATATCCAGGATTACAAGTTGTATCATGCACTTCAGATGAGAAGAGGAATGTTCAGATCTCGCTGCATCTTGAACTGGCCAGCCCAGGAAGAACGAGTCAGTGCATTTCATCAGCAATTAGTGATGGCACTTAAATCTAATAGTAGAGCGCAATGAAGTTTTAAAGTACAGATTTGAATTAAAGGGTCATTTTATTGCCTGCTTTCTATCATTGAAGCACTAAGAAGCCCTCAGAAAGACTTGAAAAAAGTTTGTCATGCTGGAAAGATATGTAAGAGTCACTATAATTTAGATTTACATGTCTGTATTCATGTTTTTGCCAATATTTTAATTTACCTGCACTGAAGTGACACATTAAAATGGATCTCAGTTGATAGTCATTTCAGTCTGTGTATCAAAGATGTGGTAGAAATTCTGAAAAGCAGTGAGAATGACTGATGTCCTAGAAAAAAAGGCCATCTGATGTAGTGCAGAAAAGGCACAGACTCTCAACTTCAAGGGGATACGCACAAGAGAATGCAATAATGATAAAATAGCAAATTACTCTGTGTAGAAGATAGAGTGGATACCACTGCTTGCTTTCATAACACAAGGGGAGATTCAGCGAAACTAAAACTGGAAAGCTTTCCACGTGAAGCACAGTAAATAACATGGACAATTATTTCTGTAGTTGAAACCAAGAAACATAGCAGAATTTCTAAGTGAGATTTAAAACTTTTATTTTAAGACAAAGCCACAGGAAGAAACTTGACCCTATGGGCAGCCTGTTCAGAACATGCAGTGAGGGGTTGCTTATGCCTTCTGGGTGGGACTAGTACTGGTGACTATCAAAAACAGATTTTCAGACTGTCAGTCTGGAAAAAAATCTGAAAAAAATTTCAGATTTTCAGTTTAATGATTTAATCAGTTGAGTGAGTAAAAAAAAATATGGTGTTTTTTTACTCTTCTCTACTGAAATTCATAGAGCTGGAAGAAGGACATTTTCAAAGTACAGGCTTGAATTATGGGGTAATTTTATTGCATATTTATTAATGCATAAAGGCTGGATGGGGCTTTTAGCAACCTGGGGTAGTGGGGGGTGTCCCTGCCCAGGGCAGAGGGTTGGAACTCGATGGTCTTTACAGTCGCTTCCAACCCAACCCATTCTATGATTTGATGACATTTATACTGAGAGATACCACCTTAATTCTTTGAATGTGCATAAAACTATATGTGGGCCTTTAAATACAACTTGAAATCAATATGAAACATGGCCAAGGCTGATAATCGGCCAAGGTGATCAGCCAACAGCTGAGGCACCTGTTTAATGAGTAAGGGCATAGATATTTCTGTAGTGTAACCAGAAGACAACTTTGTGGGGGAGCTGGTGCTACTGTAATTCCATTACTGAAAACTTTGTTACTGGTGAAACAACAACAAGAAAAAGTAACCACCCAAAGAGAATAGTTTTAAACCATATCAGAAATATTACTGTGACTACGGGTACAGGTAGAGTGGGAGAAAAAAACTTCAGAAGTAGATTAATTTCAATTTTTTTTGTTTTTTCCTGTATGACTGTATATAGTTTTGCCTTAGATAGGAGAAAAAAACTTCAGAAGTAGATTAATTTCAGTTTTGTTTTTGTTTTTTCCCCTGTATGACTGTATATAGTTTTGCCTTTGATAGCAAAAAAAAAAAAATTGTAAAGAAATCAGAATTCTGTAGGTTAATTTCTTATATATTCATCTCGTCTGTTTTTCCTCTAACATAGTTTACAGAAACATGAGCTAGCTGGCCGTTGCCAGAGCATTAAGGTTCAAACTTGTGGGCCAGCAGCTTGACCTGGGGAGAGCTGAGAACCAGCAAAGTCCGTTCTGAAAGGCTGTTCATAATGTTTGAGGCTGATTGCAATTTTATGGAGTGTTTGAGCACAATTGATTGTAAATTAGGTGCTAGACAGAGATTTGTATGTTTTTGTTAATATTTAATTGCTGCTCCAAGGAGCTTATAAAACTTTGTCAGTTTTTATTAGGTGTGTGATCCTTTGGGAATATTTTTAAATCACTTCTTTTCCCCTAGCATTTCCCTCATCAATTTCAATACCACAGTTACTCCAAGAATGTTGTTCTACTGCTTTTGAAAACAAGTTTCAGATGGTTCAATACTTAACGTTTCAGAATCATAGAATCGTCTAGGTTAAAAGGGACCTTAAAGATCATCTTGTCCAACCATCAGCCTAACTCTGACAAAAAAATAAATAAGAAATAGGAAATAAAAATTACTAAACCATATTCCTGAGGACCATGCCTACCTGTCTTTTGACAATCTCCAGGGATGGTGCCTCTACCACTTCCCTGGGCAGCCTATTCCAATGCTTGATAACCCTTTCGGTGAAGAAATGTTTCCTAATATCCAATCTAAACCTCCCCTGGTGCAACTTGAGGCCATTTCCCCTTGTCCTATCTCCTGTGACTTGGGAGACGAGACCAACCCCTGCCTCTCTACACCCCCCCTTCAGGTAGTTACACAGCGCGATAAGGTCTCCCCTCAGCCTCCTCTTCTCCAGGCTGAACAACCCCAGCTCCCTCAGCCTCTCCTCATAAGATTTACTCTCCTGACCCCTCACCAGCTTCATTGCCCTTCTCTGGACCCGCTCCAGCAGTTTTAAGCAGTTTTTCTCACGATTTGTTAAATGTAAAGATGAAAAACATTGTTTTTTAATAGGTTTCTATGTCCCATGATGACAAAAGGCGGACATGAGAAAAATAATTAATGAAATAGATTTTGCACACACCGAAGAGTGAAGGGGACTGTCTTCACTTGCTTGGGAAGTCCTGAGTGAAAACAAAAAAGGCTTTTGTTTACAGCTGAAGTGATAGATGATGATGATTCCCTAATTACAGTAATGGGATTATCCCCATTGTGGTGCTTTCATCTCATCTTTCTGACCTTTTCAGGCCAAGTGACAAATTCTCTCTTCATGCTTAGGCCATGAAAGTTGAGGAGGAGCGTGGGTAAGGATGGGGTGCCAGGTATTCACCATGTCAATCGTTCTTTCTCTTATTTAAAGACTAACATGAGAAAGGGTTCCTACCTTTCCTAAATCTGTAATGACACATAATAGCAGAATTTCTCATTCCACAGCAATATAAATTGTTTAGGAAATGTTAGCGGTTCACACGGATATTAAAACCGCTCCAGCAGTTTTAAGCAGTTTTTCTCACGATTTGTTAAATGTAAAGATGAAAAACATTGTTTTTTAATAGGTTTCTATGTCCCATGATGACAAAAGGCAGACACGAGAAAAATAATTAATGAAATAGATTTTGCACGCACCGAAGAGTGAAGGGGACTGTCTTCACTTGCTTGGGAAGTCCTGAGTGAAAACAAAAAAGGCTTTTGTTTACAGCTGAAGTGATAGATGATGATGATTCCCTAATTACAGTAATGGGATTATCCCCATTGTGGTGCTTTCATCTCATCTTTCTGACCTTTTCAGGCCAAGTGACAAATTCTCTCTTCATGCTTAGGCCATGAAAGTTGAGGAGGAGCGTGGGTAAGGATGGGGTGCCAGGTATTCACCATGTCAATCGTTCTTTCTCTTATTTAAAGACTAACATGAGAAAGGGTTCCTACCTTTCCTAAATCTGTAATGACACATAATAGCAGAATTTCTCATTCCACAGCAATATAAATTGTTTAGGAAATGTTAGCGGTTCACACGGATATTAAAAATGACATAAAGACGCAGAGAATGCATGGAGAAATGCCGAGGTGAAATGTGATACAAGAGGTCAGACTAGATGATCCAATGCTCTTTTCTGGCCCTTAAACCCTGACAAATGACAGCGTGGCTAAATACTATAAAGATTTTTCTTGTTATTACAAATGCTCCCCAAATCAGTCCGAGAACCTCAAGAAAGCGTGTTATGGATGTTTAGTTTTGTAATATAGCTAAGAATGCAACCTAAAAGTACTTGCTGATGAGTGAAAATCATTTTAAATGACAGAAACGTGATGACGCAGCCTAAACAGATCAGATTAATATAATTTACAACAGAAAAAGGACATTATAAATGCTCACAATGAGAATTAGACTAATGTTAAGAAAAAATAACCACAAAAGCAATAAGCACTGGGCCAGCACTAATCATCAGTTATACTTGACATAAAATTTTCATGTAAATTTTTCCTGTTTGTCTGGAAGTTACCTACTTCTGCTTCACTCCTGTACATTTGTTTAAAAATATTATTGAGAGTAAATAAATGGGCTTACCGTGGCAAAGAGTTGTACGTGCTTTCAGGATTAACAGTCCAAATCTGATCTGGGTAGTTTCTTCACAGTGGGCGGCATCAGACTATATTATGGTGATTTAGTAAGGAGTTGGATAGCAAACAAATGACAAATAGTTCCAAACTTCTTGTTATGTCAAGTCTGTAGCTTTGGGGTGGAACCTGACACTTTCTATGGTTCTTGAATGAGAAGGAGTAATGAACAAGATGGCAAAGAGCTGTAAGTGCTTTCAGGATTAACAGTCCAAATCTGAGCTGTGTAGTTTCTTCGCAGTGGGTGGCATCAGACTATATTATGGTGATTTAGTAAGGAGTTGGATAGCAAATAAAAGACAAATAGTTCCAAACTTCTTGCTATGCTGCTTAGGCCATGAAAGTTGAGGAGGAGCGTCGGTAAGGATGGGGTGCCAGATATTCACCACGTCAATTGTTCTTTCTCTTATTTAAAGACTAACATGAGAAAGGGTTCCTACCTTTCCTAAATCTGTAATGACACATAATAGCAGAATTTCTCATTCTACAGCAATATAAATTGTTTAGGAAATGTTAGCAGTTCACACAGATATTAAAAATGACATAAAGACGCAAAGAATGCATGGAGAAATGCCGAGGTGAAATGTGATACTAGAGGTCAGACTAGATAATCCAATGCTCTTTTCTGGCCCTTAAACCCTGACAAATGACAGCGTGGCTAAATACTATAAAGATTTTTCTTGTTATTACAAATGCTCCCCAAATCAGTCCGAGAACCTCAAGAAAGCGTGTTATGGATGTTTAGTTTTGTAATATAGCTAAGAATGCAACCTAAAAGTACTTGCTGATGAGTGAAAATCATTTTAAATGACAGAAACGTGATGACGCAGTCTAAACAGATCAGATTAATATAATTTACAACAGAAAAAGGACATTATAAATGCTCACAATGAGAATTAGACTAATGTTAAGAAAAAATAACCACAAAAGCAATAAGCACTGGGCCAGCACTAATCATCAGTTATACTTGACATAAAATTTTCATGTAAATTTTTCCTGTTTGTCTGGAAGTTACCTACTTCTGCTTCACTCCTGTACATTTGTTTAAAAATATTATTGAGAGTAAATAAATGGGCTTACCATGGCAAAGAGTTGTACGTGCTTTCAGGATTAACAGTCCAAATCTGATCTGGGTAGTTTCTTCACAGTGGGCGGCATCAGACTATATTATGGTGATTTAGTAAGGAGTTGGATAGCAAACAAATGACAAATAGTTCCAAACTTCTTGTTATGTCAAGTCTGTAGCTTTGGGGTGGAACCTGACACTTTCTATGGTTCTTGAATGAGAAGGAGTAATGAACAAGTGACCGACAGTGATGTTCATCACAGGTTCTATTCCAGGTCTTCATGCAGGATCATGTCGGGGCTGCTGCTGCGACAAATGTACTACACACCAACGTGCTCAATGATGCTACTTTCACTGTGGCTCAGTCAAGGCGTTTTGGCATCCTGGGGAATAAATGCAGATTGTGCTGCTGTTAAGTTTGTGTGGGCCTGTTCCATCAGGTTTGGTCAGCACACATTTATCTCAGTTTGTAAGAAAAAAGGACAAGAATATCCCAATTTCAATTCTCAGTCCTCTACTTGGGTGTCATGTGTACTCCCCTCTGCCAGCTCACCACACTCCTTGATGTGCTAAGAAGACAAAGCTGGGATAAAATTCTTCTTTGTACCCTTGGTTGTCATCTTTTAGCAGCTGCCAGCTTTAAGTTGATGGTGCAACTTGTTG